CTGGTCGCGGAGCCTGCAGGCGCCCCCCTACCCGCGAAGTGGGCAGGCGAGAGACAAGAGGGAAGTGCCACTCTGATCGATGTCATCCCGAGAAATATTCCACGCGAAGAGGCGCTGCTGCTGCTGCTGCTGCTGCTGCTGGGGAACCCAGAGAGTTTCTACTGGTGAAGTGGAGAGGCAGGAAGGATGGATCTAAGCAAAGGGGGTGGAGGGTGGGGGGGGGAAGCTGAGTTCCATTTTGCCTTCTGCCACCACCCCGTTACCTGGGAAAGGGGCGGAAAAAACCACGTCGAGGAGCAAACGGCAGGGAGTGTATTGATTTGCCGCAGGCTCCTCGCCCGCTTTCGTTCCCCGAACGTTTCTCGGAAGTGAAAAAAACACTTTTAACTTCGTTTGACCATCCGCAGGAAACCTTTTATGCACAGTAAACGTAAAACGTAAACACGTTCATACAAAGTTATTCCCGGAGACCGTTAAAACCGCAAATATATTGCCGGGTAAGCGGGGTTAAGTTCTGTCTCGGGCAGAAGGAAACCGAGATACGGGCATGCGTGCGTTTTAATGCGTTTTCTTAGGAAAATCTGGGCAGGGGGGGGGGGCTCGAAATACGAATTGGCGGATAGACTCTCCCCACCCCCTTCTACGGAGCGTCCAGCTAAATGGGACTTACTTGGGCTTGATACTACAATAGAAAGTCCCCGAGAGCGGGTTTCCTTCCCCATCCTTTCCTGTCCCTTCAGACCAGCTCGGCGCCACAACCGGCAGCCCCTAGGGCCGGGAGCTTGAAGCCGGCCGCTCCCTTGCTCGGAAGGCAATTCGGCCTGTCGCGATCCGCAGCCGCCCTCCTTCCTTCCTTCCTTCCTTCCTTCCTTCCAAGGTGAGTTTGCGGGACTTCCAAGCGGGTCTGGATTTCAAACGGCGCCGTGGCGGTTCTTCGCGCGCGGAGTGTGTGCTGCGTAAAAGGCGCGCCTCCGGAGCGGAGCTGCCGGCCAAGCCTGCGCCTAAAGCCGCAAGGCCAGCGCTCTGACGGAGCTGCCTTCCCAAGCTTCCTTAGGACGCGACCTTCTGACGGCAAAAAAAAAAAAAAAAAGGAAAAAAAAGAAGGCCTGGCGTATGGGAAGGCGCGGTGATGGCGGCGGAGGGTCTGAGTTTACCGCCACACGCCAAGCTGGGGAGGGGAAAGGTCCCGCCGCCACCGCGTCTGAAAGATGGAAGCCGCCCATTCCCATCGCGGCCAACCCAGTGGTGAGGCCGGGGCAGGGAGGGATCCAGGAGCGACCAGGTGTTTTTTTTTTTCGGGCAAGACGATGGCGCGGCCCCCGCCGGCCGAAAGCCGGGCATCCCTGGCGGGGGTGGCGGCTGGAGGATCGCAGGGGCCGAGGCAGGGAACCGCTGGCCGGAGATGTGGCGCTGCGCTTTGGCGAATCCGCGAGTGTTGGAATCTACTGCCTTTGTCTGACAAGTCATCCATCTCCCGGCCCGGCGCGCGGGGGAGGGAGGGGAGGGGTGTGTGTGTGTGTGTGTGTGTGTGTGGTGTGTGTGTCTGTGGACGAGAGGGGGGGGAGAGACGGGTGCGATCTGGAGGGGGCTTTGCCGCTTTTAGAGAGACGGGCACTGGCGGCGGCAGCTCCATTCTCCAGGCAAAGCTCGTGGCAAGCACATCCCCACCTTGGCGCAAACCCGCCAGGAAGGCAAGAGGGAGGAGGAGGAGGAGGAGGAGGAGGAAGAGGAGGAGGAGGAGGAAGAAGAAGAGGCCAAAAGTCTGGCCGGAGCAGAAGGAGCCCTCCGCCGTCGCCAAGGAAGCTGGAGCTAAGGAGGCGGAGAAGCCAACCTGCCTGCCTGCCTGCCTGCCTGCCCGGGGAGGGAGCGCGCTGGCCGCGGCGCGCCAACTTCAGCTTGAGCCGAGCCGGCCCGGGAAGGAGAGCCGCCGACGCCTTCCAGGGACCCCGCCATGCTTTGCTCCGGGCCCCCCTTAGCCAGCCAGGCAGGGGTGGTGTGAACGCCGCGGCGGGCGCAACTTGCTCTGCCCAGCGCGCTCGGCCAGCAGCTCGGCCGAGGGCAAGGAGGCTCCCCCGCGGCCCGCCGGCCGGGCATCCCCCCCCCGCGGCTTGGTTCTTCCGATTCTCTCCCAAGTCCTGAAGTCGACCCTCCGAGCGAAACGGCGGCTTCAGCCGATTTCTTCCCTTTCCTCTGCCTCCCCATGGATATGCACTGCAAAGCAGACCCCTTCTCCGCGATGCACCGTGAGTACCGGCCGCAGCTTTCCTTCCCCCCCCCCCCCGCGTCCTTCGCCCGGCTGCCCCTCTCCTGAATCCCACCGCCCAGGAGAAAGTTCGCGTTCCCAGTTTTCCACCGTCTTCCTTTCCTGCTGGGGCCCCTTGCCGCGGGGAAAAAAAACCCCCTTTTTGGATGTGCCCCCCTCAAAAAAAACAAAAAAAGGCAGCGAAGGGACTCGGGGTATTCCCGGTTCCTGAAGCCGGCGCGTGGCTCCTTTTGCCATTTTTCCCAACCGGGAAATCTTGGTTCCCGAAGAGGCCTTCGGGAATGCCCCGGCGTGCGGGCGGACTCGAAGCGGCGGTCTGGCTGCCTCCTCCACCTCCGAAGGCCGCCCCGCAAGCGGAGAAACAAACGGCGATTGATCTCCGCGTTTTAATTTCTTTGGGGGGGGGGGGAAACGGGGAGAAAAACCACATTTCAAGGTCGAAAAGATTAAAAGCGTGCCGCATTTTGTGGAAAATTCGGGTGCGTGGCCGGTTTTGTTTTGGGTTCAGGTTTTTGTTTTGGGGTTTTTTTCCCCCCCGACCTTGCCCTGCAGTTTTAAAAACTCGTAGAATTGCAGGAATGGTGTTGGTTCCTGAGAAATAAAGGTGCGCGAGGCAAAGGGGAGGGAAAAAAAAAAATCCCAAATCTCCGTCACGCCATTTCCCTTGCTATCTCTCTCCCCCCCCCCCCGCATTACTGTATTTTTTTTAAAAAAAAAACACCAAAGAGAATCGGTTTCGGATTTTGAACTTTCGAATAAAAAAATAGAGCAGGCGATTGCCACAAAGCTTCAGCAGTATATAACAGTATATAATAACTTAATACCTCCTTGGCTTTTAGTATGCCTTAGCTAACAAGAGGCTTATAAAGAAACGAAAATTGATCTGTTAAGGTTTAAAAAAATATTTTGAGGTTGGAGAATCTGAGAGGACATTTTTATACCAACAAAAAGCATTTTTTTAAAAGGTTGGGAAGCTTTATTTTTCCGCAATTTTCCATGATTTTTTTTTAAAAAAAACAACAGATTATGTACAATGACTTACCTCACCTCATGTCTTGTCCATCACGTAAGGGACAAAACTGACTTTAATTCTAGCTTTAATTCAGTTGGAAACTAGATCGGATTTGCAGACCGATTTTCAGGTTGGAACCACCGGTTAAAACTAAAACATTAGTTTTAGTGACTCCTTGTCTTTAGCACCTTCTACAATTTTATTTTTCTAATGGAGGAAATTGGCTTTCTATGAAGCATATCTTGCATTCAGTACAAAGAAAGGTCAGGGACAGAAATACGGTTGGGAAGCGAGAAAGTGAACTGCAAGGTGCAACGCTCCGGTTAGGGAAAAAAAAAGCAGGTGCAATATTCTGAATTATTAATTCCGTGATCTTTTTGCATCTGTTGCCTTTTAATACTCTGTAATGTGAGTTATCAAAGGTGCTTTGAATTATTCAGAATTGAGGTCTTGGAGAAATTGCTTGCCGGCTTGTAACTTTAGAGGCAACATCTGCAAAAGGCAAATCAGATAAATGAAGGAAATAAGCAGATACTTCGAGAGGAAGGCAAGGAAGGCGATCCGAAATTCCCACCGACTTCCACTTCACTGACACTTAGCACAAAACCGTGGCAGTTGATGAGGGGCGAAGCACATTCGTGTTCCGGTGCATGCTAATAAAATAGCGCTAACCGGACGCGAGGATGCCGGTTCAGCCTCCTTGAGCGGCTGCCGGCTAAGAAAGGGGATGAAAAACCTTAATTTGCCAAAGGATTGGGATCAATAGAGCGGGCAAGAAGAGTTTCCACTAAGTTCAGAGACCAGAAGTCAGTATCACAAGGGGGGGGGGGGAGAGGGAGGGAGAGAGAGAAACGAGGATCGTTTTAGATCCACCTGCTTGGCCACTAAGATCTCTGGAGACCGAAACCGCCTTGGGATCCGCTTCCCTTCCAGAGCAGTAGAGCGGCAGATTTCATTCTGGAGGAGATCAGCTGAAATGGAGGTCGTGGGGTTAACTGAGTTGAATAATCAAAAGAGAAGAGCAGGGACTCAACTCCCGCTTCTCCGGGCCGGCACGAGTAAAGTCGGGTTCAAACGGCCTTCCTGAAATCCTTGCTTCTCCACCTCGACCCTACTAGAGTATGGCCAAATAATCAAAAGGGGTTGAGGGCTGTCCGAAGAGAACGTTTTTAGAACGTTGGGGGGAAAAAAGCTTAAAAAATCCAATGAAATCAAACCAGTTGGTTTAATATATGGAGAAATATTTTTTTTTTCCGCCCGGAAGACGAGAGGGAATATAATAAGAGTAATATTAACAGTAGTAGCTGGCGGAAAAGCATTATAGTAAATAAAGGAGAAACGGGGAAAGGAGTCTTGGGGTTTCGTTCGTGGAAGGGTGGGTTCCTACCTGGCGGCTTGAGTCTCGCCCGCCTGCTGGGAGGGCACTGAGGGCCAAGCTGGAAGGCCGAGGAGAAGGAGAAGCGCCCCCAGCGCCCCCAGATTTGGAAAAGGGGGAGTCTTGCCTTAAGCCAACCTTTTTCTGCTTGGCGGCAGAGGGACTTTGACCCCCCTCCTCTTTTGGCCCAGAAGTGCTGGCAGAGTCACACACACACACACACACACACACACACACACACAGAGAGAGAGAGAGAGAGCCCCCCAAAATATTCCGGCTTCCAACGAGGAGAAGCGCCCCCAGCGCCCCCAGATTTGGAAAGGGGGGGTCTTGCCTGAAGCCAACCTCTTTCTGCTTGGCGGCAGAGGGACTTTGACCCCCTCTCTCTCTTGGGCCCAGAAGTGCTGGCAGAGTCACACACACACACACTCACACACACAGAGCCCCCCAAAATAGTCCGGCTTCCAACGAGGAGAAGCGCCCCCAGCGCCCCCAGACTTCGAAAAGGGGGGGGGTCTTGCCTTAAGCCAACCTCTTACTGCTTGGTGGCAGAGGGACTTTGACCCCCTCCTCTTTTGGGCCCAGAAGTGCTGGCAGAGTCTCTCTCTCTCTCTCTCTCACACACACACAAACACACACACAGAGGTCCCCCCCAAAAAAATATTCCGGCTTCCAACTCCGCCGAACCGCCCCGACTAATGCCTTTCTCTCGTCTTTCTCCCCCCTCCCCGCCCCGCTCGCCTGCTTTTCTGTCTTTCCGTTCTCTCTCCCCAGCAGGGCACGGGGGTGTCAACCAGCTCGGGGGGGTGTTTGTGAACGGCAGGCCCCTACCGGACGTGGTGCGGCAGAGGATCGTGGAGCTGGCTCACCAGGGCGTGCGGCCTTGCGACATCTCCCGCCAGCTGCGGGTCAGCCACGGCTGTGTCAGCAAGATCCTGGGCAGGTAGGAGCGGGCGGGCGGGTGGTCGGTCGGCCGGCGGAGGGAGGGAGGGAGGGAGATGGGGGGGGGAGGTCTTGCTACTCGGCTGCTACTCGGGGCCCCTCGCCCTGCCCGGGCCCGGCGAGCCGCCCCCCACCCAAACACTCACCCACCCACCCACCCACCCCCCAGCCCGCTCCTCCCTGCCGTTTCTTTTGTCTGGCCTGTCTCGACACAGGGACCTGCGGTGGGTTCGCAAAGAGGGGGAAAAGCCCGACGAAAAGCCCGGGAACAAACCGAGCGCCGCCCCGCTTGCGCTGAGACCAGCCGGCAAGCCTCCCCTCCCCGCTTCCCAGCTAAGCCAGGCCGGGCCCTGCTTTCTCTCCAGCCGCAGGTCAGCAGGAACCCGGCCCCGCGCCGGCGCCGCCACCGCCGCCGCTGCCGCCTTCAGCAGAGCTCAGCTCAGGATGGGAGTGGGGGGCGCAAGAGGCCGCCGGGGCCCCACTGCACGCCGGGTGGGTGGGGGGGGGGCCGCCAAAGAGACCGACGGCCGGGGAGGGCAGAGGCAGGCCCGAGGCCGGAGAAGAAGGAGTTCCACCCAAGGCCAGGCCGCCCTCTCTGACCTCGGTCCCTTTCCGGCCTCAGCCTCTTTGGGCCTACCCGGGGCCTGGTCCGCCCGGGCAAGGCGAGAGTGGCCGAGGGCGAAGGCGGGGGGGGGGGGAGAGAGAGCCGGGCCTTCGAAGTGTGGCCCGGGCAGGTGGTGCTGGCGGGGCTGCGGCGGGGATGAGAGGTGGCTAAGGTGAGCGCGCCGCTGAGATGGGTTCTGCCCCCCCCATCCCATCCCACCCCTCCCGCAGGTATTACGAGACCGGGAGCATCAAGCCTGGGGTCATCGGGGGCTCCAAGCCGAAGGTGGCGACGCCCAAAGTGGTGGATAAGATCGCCGAGTACAAAAGGCAGAACCCCACCATGTTCGCCTGGGAGATCCGCGACCGGCTCCTGGCCGAGGGCATCTGCGACAACGACACGGTCCCCAGCGTCTCCTCCATCAACCGGTAAGTGGCTCCGGCCGTTTTTGGGCCCTCCCGCAGGACCCGTCCTCTGGAGCATGGCCTCTGGGTCAAACCAGCAGAGGTCCTGACGCCCAGAAGGCGAAAGGCGGGCAGGGGGAACCCCTGGGCCCGGATTCTTCGCCTCCTTGGAACCCCACCTCTGTCCGAAAAGAAAGGCCGAGGAGGTAGGATGAATCCCTGCTGGTGGTTTGCCTGAGCAGAGTAGGGAGAGCCTCTGTGGGGCTTGGAGCCGGGCAAGGGGGACAAAGAGTTGGGGTGGCTACCTGCGAGGTGGTGCGTGTTTGAAGCCCTTGTACTGTGGTTGTTGGCCCAGATCTGGAAGAGGACAGGACCTCTTGCTGATTGCTTGCTGCTTTGATTGTCTGAGCATTCACGCTCTGCTTCCCGAGCTTCTGTCTATCTAGGATCTCTTCTTTCCATAGCTTCTGTCTGTCTAGGATCTCCTCCTTCCGTAGCTTCTGTCTGTCTAGGATCGCCTCCTTCCGTAGCTTCTGTCTGTCTAGGATCCCCAGATGCAAAATCCCCATTGACCAAAGCCTTGGTTGGGTTGGATCTGCTGCTCTATAGCATTTGGCCAGACCCGCATCCACGGCTTCCCCACCTTCACTGGGGGCTGAAATCACATGCTTGGGGACTGATCAGAGGCAATGGCAGTAATTTAGACTTCCGTGTGCTTTACAAAGTGATGCTGAGAAAGGAATTGGGCCACCTGTGCCAGGCAGATGTACAAAAATGCCCCGTAGAAAGAGCAGAGGAGCGCTGGAGTCTATTCTGTGCACTGGCCTGGAAGAGAAACAGACGGGGTGGGGTGGGGGGGGGGATGCACAGAATGGTCCTTTGGACAGACACATAATTAACGATGCTTGAAAAGTGGGAGATAAACCCCTTCTCACAAATGCTGAGCTGTTACTGAACAAATGCGGGCTGCCTATTTGTTTTGAGTTTTAAATTTAGCACTTTTCACGGATATCAAACATTCCCCCAAAACTTTTAAGCTTTGTAATCCTCTAGGAAGGGATCTCGGTAACAATCTTCATTGGTATCTTTTTGAATGCATAAACTGAGATTTAGGCATTATCAGCACTGAATTGTAGAATGAGCAGCTGCTGCAAGTATTGCCATATTATAAATGTCGGTGTCAAAAAAAAAAAAGTGGCCCTATAAAGATACTTCGATTCAGACGGACACAACAGCTGATCCATCCACTTCAACAGCTGTTGAGCTCCGTAGTTACATAATAAACAGCAAGTTTATTTTAAAGAAGTATAGAAATAATGGGTTCTTTCATTTATGTAAAAAGATTGTCCTTTGTTCTTGTAAATAGACATTTTGTAAACTGGCAATCTCAGTGGCTTTTTATAGTTTAGGAAGCGGGCATGGAATAATCCCAAATCATCTGAAAATAACAGGTTAAATTAACAAGGGAGCCTCCCTTGGTGAAAAGAGATGCCTCTTCAGTGTGGTGTCTCTTTGTAATATATGGCTATGTTATCCCACCAAATTATCCCAGTGTGTGCTATCAATATTAAAACGGTCATTAGGTTATGAACAGAGTAAGTTCAGACTGGCTGACTAATTATGAACCTTCTTTAAGGGAAGGGAGGCTCTACCTATCTCAGGGATGGAAATAACAGGAGTAACATTGGAGAAGCAGCTGGTCCTGAAAAGAGAACTGTAGGTGGGGAGGGGGGCTCAGACCTCAGAACCAGGTTTCTGGGAAAAGGGAGATGCCACTCCTCAAATATTTTCTTGGGCTGCTGCAGAAAAGGTGAAGACCTGTCCTGGGTTGTGTATTGGGGGGGGGGCGGAGGGAGCAGGTAATTTAACCTCTCTCTAGGAGTTCATCTCAGAGATACCCTAGCATTATACCTTAGTGTAGTAAAGACCACATTCAGTATAGTGGGAGGGTCCTGTGCTATAACAGACAATTTTATCAAAGGATAGACCTTTATCTGTGTCAGATAGCCTTGCATGGATCTGTACTGGAAGGCTTCATGACTTGGTCGTTGCATGTTTATCTCTAGAAAGATGCTAGCTTACCTTTAAATGCTGCCTAGATGGCAATTCGCTGGAGTAGCAAGGATTTTCTAGATAGAGTGCAGCAGCCAACACCAGGCGTGTGGAAACGTAAAAAGTAAATGCCACAAATCGTTCCTCATAAGCCCAAGGCAGCCATCAAGAATCAGGATTCATTTGGTCTCAATGAACTGGGAAGTCTTGACTTTTCCACCCATTACCTAATCTATTCCTGAAATAAGGTAAATATGACACACTGGGCAATATTTTGTCATGAAATCTAAGCCAGTATTTCTGAGGGCTACTAGAATCAATATCTGAAGTTTCTAAAATTAAACTAGAAAGAAGATAGTCTTGATATAGTCTTGATAATTATAAAGCTGATTTGGTAAATACATACACACATACATATATTGTGTGGTGTGTGTGTGTGCATTTCTTTGATCTCTAAAATCAATGAAAGAAATTGCTCAATTTGCCATGACAGAAAACAGAACTCTTGAAATCATATTGTTGGAAATTAAAAAGAAATAGATTTCTCTCTAAATTGACGAATATTGGGATTAGGGCCAATAATTGATTTATACCCTATATATATATATACCATATAAACTTATAAACAAAAAACATATTATAGAAAAAATAACTTTTTATTTTTTTCATCTTGCCAGAAAATTTATGTTTGGACGTTTCTTAATTTTCTCTTTCTCTTTTTCTAATTCTCAAATAGTAAAATAGAGTTATATAAACAATAATGGGAAGTGATATGTCAGTACTAAGCTTTGCATTCAGTGTCTTGAATCTCATAAATGGTATGACGTTTTGAATTATTACTCTTAATGTTTACCTCCAGCTTGACTGTAATCTTATTTTTATAGACTTTCTGGATTTAAAAGTCATGTGAATAGATCTGGTGATCCAGAGAAGTGGTAATTTGCTATTTGCTAGATGTTTTAAAGCTCAGAATCTGCTTACCTTCACTAAGCAGACTGTTAGATTCAATGGTTTAAATGGCACAGAAATTTTAAATTAAACATTAAATACTGAATTTTCAATACCACTACTACTTCAAGCTGCCACTAATATGGCTACATTACAATAGGATATGTTAAGGGAGAACTTTCCAGCATTGCCCCACACCTTTAAAACAGCTATTATTTGGTTTTGCTCATTTAGTACTTTTATTTCCGCTTCCCTCCTTCCTTTTTTCAAAGAAAAAGAATGCAATATTGGCTAAGATACTCCCTTTCATCCTATTCCTATTTGTCTAGATACAATATAAATTCTTTGACAATCAGTGCTCCAAGTATCCCTGGCCACTTTATTCGCTTTGCTGCATGCTTGACAGTTTCTTTGTCAACTTTGTTCCTTATTTTTCAGGCGGTGGATGACTAAAAAGAGAGTTGAATAAATGCATTAATGAGATATCTATAGAAAATGTGTCAGCTTAGGTAAAATTAGTCCAACTAGAGGCACTGACATAGGAATATCAGATAGCAAAATCTTCTGAAACATGGAAGGGTCTCTCTAGAAAGAAGTTAGCAGCATTCAGACCTTTTCATGTCGTGATTTTTTATATTAAGAGAAACTTGGGGGAATTTTCTGTGATAACAAAAATGTAGTTGAATGTGTGTGTTATCAAATGATGTGTCGGGATACTTGGAGGAAAAATCAGTTTTCTGAAAAGGGCAGTGACTAGTGATTAATAGGATAAAATTCCTCATATCTTATTTGTCAAAAACTAGGTGGTAAATTACAGTATAGCAAAAGAAGGCAGATTTTATGGTTACACAGGCAATATGATACAAACAATACGATACAAAAGAATTTCACCCCTATAAATTGAAAATAGCAAGAATGTCATTTCAGTGCTTTAAATAGCTGGAACACGAATTTATAGAAGTTATTTGTAGATTTTCAATATCTTCATAATTTTTTTCTGAGTGGATGAATTTCTTTCACTTGGGTGTCTTTCACTGCAGCTGTTTATATGAATCTTAAGATCTACTCCACCCTGTCTTTTTTCTGAGCTTCTAAACACTGATTTTCTTTGGCAATTTTCAAAAGTATAAGGATTCCTTAAGCAAGGACAGGGCAGAATGACCCAGGTGCCATCACAGTTGGCTGATTTTCAAGAGCATGAAAGTTAACAAATTGTGCTTTAATTCAAACTTGATGTATTCTTGTGAACTGCTAGGAAGGAGAAAAAGTCTTTACGCAATTTTTTTCCCTTTAAGAATGAAAGTATTTGGGCTGGATATGATCTCTCTAGACTGCAGAAGTGGAAGTAGTTGCTATTCTTCCTGCAGAAAATTTTGCATGACTAGCCCTGATTCAAGTAGAGTTACATGCTTCGGGACTATACCTTGTAATTTGGCTTTTAACAGCAGTTTAATTTGTAGTTGAAAGTAGAACCTTATCTGTTTTTTTGCAGATTATATTGCTGTTGAAAGCACAGGAGTAGGCATAATAATAATAATATTCATGTAACTACTTTGAAATCTGTGTTTATTTCTGTGTGCAACTGTATCATTCAACGTTTGTTGCTTGATAGAATCCAACACAGCTGTTTCACAACCACCAAAACATTGTGAAGAACTTCCTTGTAGTGGGGAGATACAGATTTGCTTAAAAACTAGCCAAAATATTCCTTTTCATCTTCTTTAGAACATTTCTGATCTAGAATGAAACCTATGTGGCAATTGTATATGATCCCTACGAAAGTAATATGGAAGATTTTTGGTCTGGTACAAGAAAGTAATGTCTTTTTTTCCCCCTAAAATGATATTTCTATTGTCTTAACTTAGAGGTGGGCAATATGTACAAGATTTTCCTTTCCCTTCCCTTCCTTTCCCTTCCCTTTCTTCACTTCACTTCACTTCACTTCCTTCTTTCCTTAGCTCCAGGTGGTCTTTTCAATCGTATTGCTGAAGTTGAAATTGAATTTTAGCTGTGCAGTTACTGAA